TTGTGTGTAATGGTGGCCCTTAGCGACGGGAGCCAAAGCCTCATCCTTGTACCATCACACGACATGTATATATGATAGCCGTATCGGGAAAGCTAACCACCTTTCAGGGTGAAGCACGTACATGTGCAAGAGATTATCCTTATGCAATTATAGAGTTGTAGTTGCATCAGGTCTAGGTGACCTTGGCTCGTCTCTAGGGGAGAACCTGAAATCCAGAGATTGGGATTTAGTCATCTTGCCCATTGGCTGACTTTGGTGGTTCGTTGCATCATGTCTAAGTGACATTGGCTCGTCTCTAGGGGAGAACCTAAAATCCACAGACTGGGATTTAGTCCTCTTGCCCATTAGCTGACTTTGGTGGTCCAATCATGAGCCCTTGCGATAGACTGTGTGTTATGGGAACCGCTGGGTCAGTTTGAGAAAGCAAGTGTGGACCGTAGTCCTCAGTAGAAGGTGGAATGCTACAGAATTCCTAAACCATATGGATCTAATTCCCATCAAAAGTATTTAATTATAATTGTTTTAATGTTATTTGATTTTTAAAATTATTGTTTGAATTTTTCAGAATCTCTGTGTATTTTATTTATGTAATATGGATTTATAAAACCAGATATATTGAATTTCATTGTTTTAAATATTCAAATGGAATTAATAATTTCTAAAAATCATTATTTTAATTTTAAAATATTTTATTGCTGCATGGGGCCCTATTAGTACACATGGGCCCCCCATAGCAAGTTGGTGGGGCTTATGGGAGCCCACCTAGGGTGGCACGCCCCACCCTTGTATACTTTCTATTTCGGTATCCTCAAGTAAGTTGACTTGAGGCTTAAGAAATTGAGTTTTTTAAAGGTTTGATTTTACGAAGGTTTTGAAATCAAATATGGAAAGTATGAAGTGGCTTGTGTATGAAATTAGAATGTACAATATTATAATTGATTATTTTCATAATTAATTTATTGATGAGAAATTGGTTTAGAAATGGAGGATAAAGGTTCTAGTAAATGTTTTAAAAACCGGATCGGTGACTCAGATCGGGCACCTCAAAAACCCATCCGGATCGGTGAATCGGCAATCCGGATCGAGAATAGGCTGAATCGGTCGAATTAAGCCTTAAAACAAATTCGAAAAAATTATTAAAATTCATTATAAACAGTAGTTTAAAAATCGCCGAGTCGGCACGGAATCGTCCAATTCGAACCGGGAATTGGTCATCCCGTGTTGATTCTTTTGTAAAATCGGGAATCGCCCGATTCTAGAGAAGAACCGGCAATTCTGTACAGTGAATCGCTGGATGACATCATGACTCACCCGGTTGACGCCATGACTCACTCGCTTGACGTCATGACTTGCCCGGTTCTGTGCACGCACATGACGTCATGAGTCGCAACGGGCATTTTTGTAAATTTTCGAGTTACAATGGGCACCCATTGTCAAAAACACGTGCTCCATCACAAACCCACACTGCTACGTGCGTTTCGCGCGCGATTAGCTTTGGTAGCAGAAGACTAAGTATTCCTTGTAAAAAAAAAAAACAAAAAGGTTCTTGTTAAAAAAAAACAAAAAGAGTCATACGACAAGCGTTTCTTGTAAATAAATAAATAAAAAGTTATTGTCATAAGAAATAAAAGGTTTTTGTCAAAAAAAAAAAAGATCAAAGGTAATACAACAAATATTTATTGTAAAAAAATAAGAGGTTGGATTTGTTATTATTTGTATAATAAAATAATTATAAAATGTAAACCAACAAGTTCAATTTCAGTACATAATGTTCTCCAACAATTCGAGATTTTGGTGGCCATTTTTTATCGATTAAAACCATTCTTTATTATAGTCTATCTATGATTATATATTTCATCCGTGATAATTCTATGATTTTTCTTTTATGTGATGTAAATTTAATAGTCAAAGTAAGTTCATACAGAGAAAAAACATCTCAATATTCACATATTGATGAAAAAATGAAAATTAATAATGTAGTACCCCGATTTCATATTGGATTCCTAAAAAACAACATTTATAATGAGTTTTAATAATTTTTTGAGATTTTTTAAAGCTTAATCCATCCGATTCGGCCGATTCCTGATTCGAATTGCCGTTTCACCAATCCGGATGGGTTTTTCGAGTGCCCGATCCGAGCCACCGATCCGTTTTTTAAATCACTGATTATAAATGTTGTTTTTTAGAAATCTAATAAGAAATTGGGGTACTCCATTAAGAATTTTCATTGTTTTGCTTGAATATGCGAATATTGATATGTTATTTCCCTATATGAACTGTTGTTTGCCATTTAATTTACATCACACAAAAGGATAAGCATAGAATTATCGTGGATTAAGTATATCATCATACATGGACTACAATAAAGCATACAATTCGTAACATTGAATTTTCATTGTTTTAAATATTCAAATGGAATTCGTAGTTTCTAAAAATCATTATTTTAATTTTAAAATATTTTATTGTTGCATGGTGGCCCATTAGTACACACGGGCCCACCATAGCAAGTTGGTGGGACCCATGGGAGCCCACTTAGGGGCCCACCTAGGGTGGCACGCCCCACCCTTGTGTACTTTTTATTTTGGAATCCTCAAGCAAGTAGAACTTGAGGCTTAAAGAAATTGAGTTCTTTTAAAGGTTTGATTTTATGAAGGTTTTGAAATCGAACATGGAAAGTATGAAGAGGCTTGTGCATGAAATTAGAAGGTACAATATTATAATTGATTATTTTCATAATTAATTTATTGATGGGAAATTGGTTTAAGAAATAAGGGATAAAAGTTCTAGCACCTTCCATAAGATCTTGATGGTTAATCTATAAAATGGATGGCTCATATCTCTCACCCCATAAGTCACCTAAGATCAATGGTGCAAATTCAATCTCATTAAAATGGCAAATAATATAAAAACCCTAGCCTTATTGAAACACTATATAAAGAGGTGCACTCTACCCATTTAAAACATAGATCTCTCTTCTCTCTCTCATAGAGAGGCATGCCCCACTTAGAGTTGCTCTCTCATCCCATTGAAGGGGCATGCTCCACCTAAACCTAGTTTAGGTTATGATACTCTCTCTCCCATCTTTTATCTCTCTCACAGCTTAAGGGTTTAGTATTGAGAAGCTCATCTCTTTCATCTAGGTGATCAAGGGGTAAGCCTTAATTTTGAGATCTAAGCCTTGTGAGAAGAGTTCTTGTTCCGTTGGAGGTTTGGCTCATATGCTTTCCCATCTTGGAGATTGAGGTTGACCATTGATCCCGCGCCATTGGAGGTGGTGATTCGGTGTGGAGTGTATTAAGCCCAGTTGAGATAATCTCCGACATCGTATTTCTTGTCATAGTTATCGCATTTATTTTTTGCTATTTCCAAACTTAATATTGTGGTTTTGATTGATTAATGAAAGAGTGGTTTTAGTGGTATCAAGTTTTAAATCCTACTTTTATTTTTCTTTATTTGTTTCAAGTCAATTTATTGTAATGGACTATTTGTAAGTGGCCTAACCATAAAAGAATAGTCCATTGTAATGGACTTATTTGTTAGGGGTCAATTTATTTTTCTTTTTTCTTTTTTTCGTCTCTTTTTCTTTTTTTTTTCTGGCTAGACCACTTACAAGTAGTCAGTTAGAATAAATTGACTTGAAACAAATAAAGAAAAATAAAACTAAGATCTACAACTTGATGCCACTAAAGTCGCTCTTTCATTAATCAATCAAAACCATAATACTAATATTGGAAATAACAAAAGATAAAAGTAATAAGTATGGTAAGAAACTGGAAATAAGATGTCAGAGATTACCTCAACCGGGCTTAATACACCCCACATCGAATCACCACCTCCAATAGCGCAGGATCAATGGTAACCTCAATCTCCAAATGAGAAAGCATATAGGCCAAACCTCCAACAAAACAAGAACTTTTATCACAAGGCTTAGATCTCAAAACTAAAGTTTACCCTTCGATCATCTAAATGAGAGAGATGAGCTTTTCAATACTAAACCCTTAACCCTTAGGCCATGAGAGAGATAGAAGATGGGAGAGAGACTATCATAACCTAGACTACGTTTAGGTGGGGCGTGCCCCTTCTATGGGATGAGAGAGAGAGAGAGAGTAACGTTAGGTGGGGCGTGCCCCTCTATGAGAGATGTGAGAGACAGAAGAGAGAGGTGTGTTTTAAATGAGTCGAGTGCACCCTTTTATATATTATTTCAATGAGGTTAGGGTTCCTTAGGTTTCCATATAGTTTGCCACTTTAATGAGATTGAATTTGCACTATTGATATTAGGTGACTTGTGGGGTGAGAGATATAACCCACCCATTCTATAAATTAGTCATCAAGATCTTATGAAAAGTACTAAAACCAGTGTTTTAAAAATCGCCGAGTTGGTACAGAATCGACCGATTCGAACCGGGAATCGATCATCCCGTGTTGATTCTTTTGTACAACCGGGGTTCTAGAGAAGAACCGACAATTCTGTACAGTGAATCGCCGGATGACGTGCTGTGCATATGTAGATACATTTCGCCTGTGATTAGAATTTAGAGACTAAGAGAAAATTTCATATGTTTGGTGTGTACAGATATATTTTCTTTTAAAAAGTGTCATGTTGTTTAGGTTTTGCAATGACATTGTTGGCATTAATACTAGGTTTTAGAACTTGTCCAAGTTAGTAGCATTTGCTCCTATTTTTAGAAAATTCTATACTTGAAAGACTTTCTATATCAAATTGCTGTTTTTTGGAGCTTTGGGTACTAACTCTTTGGCCCTGATGATCAGCACTGCCTGAAGCAGCCATTGCTTATTACAGTATTTAACTGAACTGGATTTGTATTATTCTTGCATTTTGTATTTTTTTGGGGACTTCAACTCATGGGTCATGAAATGGTGGAAATAGTTTCCTGTATTTTATGCTGCTTATGAATTTCCGCGGTCTTCATTTTTTTCTATGTTGATGGGCTAGTGGGATGAGTTTACGACTCTATCATTGCTTCCAAAATTTGCAGAACAAAAGAAGCAGAGAATTTCTGAAATAAAAACTGGGCTAGATGAAGCTGAGGCTTTGGTATGTGTATTTAGATGCTCATTTTGTTTGTTTTTGTGAAGAGACGTATGAACAGATAATAGTGTTCTTTTGGCTTTCTTGTTTCAGATTCGGAAGATGGACCTTGAGGCTAGAAGTTTGCAGCCAAGTGTAAAGGCCATACTTCTTGCCAAGTTAAGGGAGTATAAATCTGATTTGAACAATTTGAAAAGTGAAAGTAAAAGGATTTCATCAGCCAAAGTAGGTCAGGCTGCAAGAGATGAGTTGTTGGAGTCAGGAATGGCAGATACGCTAATGGTAAGGTGTCAATACTCTATCTTCAGTTCTTAGGTTTTGCTGTGAGCAATCCATCTCAACTATAAAACCTATAGTTGAGTTTCTTGAATAGTTTGACCCAATGGTTTAAAAAGCGGATTGGATACTCAGATCGAGCATCTAAAATATCGATCCGGATCGGCGAATCGGCGATCCGGATTGGGAATCGGCTGAATCGGTCAAATTAAAGCTTCAAAAAAATTCGAAAAAATTATTAAAATTCATTATAAATATTGTTTTTTAGGAATCCAATAAGAAATAAGGGTACGACATTATTAACTTTCATTTTTTTCATCAATTTGTGAATATTGAGATGCTTTTTCCCTGTATAAACTTATGTTAACCATTAAATTTGCATCACATAAAAGAAAAATCATAGAAATATCATAGATAAAATATATAATTATACATGGACTATTATAAAGAGTAGACTAATCAATGAAAGAATGGCCTTTAAATCTCGTTTTGGCAAAAAACCCTAATCTGCTAAAAAAATCTAAATTATTACAGCCTAACTAACTATAATCCAAAATTATTAAAACCTAACTAATTATAATATTATATAATGAAATTATAATTATTAGTTTACATTTTGTAATTATTTTATTAGACAAATAATAACAAATTAAAAATATTTTATAATATTATCTAATTTAAAATGTATTATTGACAACTGTAAGAAAAATAGTACAGTACATGATTTATAATGTAAAAATTAATAAATAAAATAAAATATTTGGTTATCAATATAAAAATTAATAAAATACGTACAAATTTTAGAAATAACACTTCAATTTTTCAAAAATTTATTTTTTTAGGTTTCTATAATAAATTTAGTGAAAGAGATTGTTAGTAGAAAGATAGAGATTTCAAATAGAATAAACTTTTTATTTTTTATTTTTTTATGCTTTTCATATTATTTAAAAAAATAATTATACCACTATATACAACAAAAATTAACTGCTATACAAAAAATTAACTTTTTTATTTTTCATTTTTTTATGCTTTTTATATTATTTACAAAAATATTTATACAATATATACAACAAAAACTATACAACACAAAAATGTAATGCTCACGGGCGGACTCGACCTTGAGACATCACATGAAGAAGCAAAGGTCTTAACCACCTCACCACCTCATCACATGTGGTTGTAACTTGTTGATTAATAGAATATATTTACATTCCCGTTTCATTTAATGATGCTTGGGAATTATCCTACATCGAAAGATGGGTATTCAATTTTGGTATATAAATACCTATGTAATATGAATCAAAGCATTTGTGTATAAATATTGGGGCAACCTCACACGTGTCGCACGCGTGCACGTGCATGTCGCACGCGTATCAGGAGGGAACCTGGCTGAACCGGGTAGAACCGGATGGGAACCGACAGTTCTTCTCTAGAACCGGGTGGTTCCCGGTTTTGTATTGGAACCGGCACGGGCTGTGCTGGTTCTCGAGTCAAACAGGGCGAGTCCGGTGCGACTCATCGATTTTTAAAACACTGGTTTGACCAATAAAAAGGTTTCTTTTAAGTCAATAAAATTCATGCTGCAATATGGTGCTTGTCATTGTTCAAGAAGGCGGATTTGGTAGCCTAGGTGGCCACGGGTCCTAGCCACCTAGGCAATCTGGTGGCTGCCTAGGCGGGCCTTAGATACCTGGGCGGCTGGCTCTAGAGAGAGAGAGAGTTTCATGTATGTTTGTGTGAGGCCTTGCAACGAGAGAGAGAGAGCATAGGTTCCATGTATGTATGTGTGAGGCCTTGCAGTAAATACTTCGAGGTCATGTTCTTCTTTGTCTTCATATACATAGAGAGGTAGAGGGGGCTGCATCCAACACTTGGAGGTCATTTTCTTCTTCTTTTTCTGTGAGAGAGAGAGAGAGAGAGAGAGAGAGAGAGAGGAGGAGAGA